AATTCCCCCAACTGGTTCATCAGACTCCGCGGCGCGAACCCACCGGGGATCTTGCTCAGTGAGTACAGCACCTACCGCCTTTGTGGCGATTGCTATCGACGACAAGGTCATACGCGGACTCTCCAGCCTCTCAGCTCACCACCTCGCCTTCTCTGTCGCTCTCCTGGCCCAGGCCCATCCGTAGCAAGCCTGAGGTGTCTGAAACCGCACTTATCTTGGGTCTTCAATCCCACACCGGCTCGTGATGCCACGGAGAGGGCTCGAGATTGTCCCCGGTAGACCCCATCTGAGGCGATTGCGAGGGCATTACGGAGGTCATCATCGGCGCCAACGACCGCGATATGTCCCGTCCCGCAGCCCTCATGCACCAGGGTCATGGGTGCAGTCATAATAGGTAGGCCTTCTCTCCCACAGTTTTGAGCAATAGCCGCAAACAACGCTTTTTGGCACTTGCATCGTGACAAGGTCATCTGCGGACTCTCCAGCCTCTCAGCTCACCACCTCGCCTTTTCTGTTGCTCTCCAGGCCCAGGCCTATCAGTAGCAAGCCTGAGGTGTCTGAAACCGCACTCAACTCGGGTCTTCAAGCCCACACCGGCTCGTGGTGCCAAGGAGAGGGCTCGAGATTGTCCCCGGTAGACCCCATCCGAGGCGATTGCGAGGGCATTACGGAGGTCATCATCGGCGCCAACGACCGCGATATGTCCCGTCCCGCAGCCCTCATGCACCAGGGTCATGGGTGCAGTCATAATATGTAGGCCTTCTCTCCCACAGTTTTGAGCAATAGCCGCAAACAACGCTTTTTGGGGGGCCCCCCATCGAGCATTCGTGACAAGTAGGTCACTCGCGGACTCTCCAGCCTCTCAGCTCACCATCTCGCCTTCTCTGTCGCTCTCCTGGCCCAGGCCCATCAGGATCAAGCCTGGGCTGTCCCAGACCGTCCTTACTTTAGCGTCCAAACTTGTTTGGGCGCGAACCGTATCTCGCAACGAATCTCGCCGGCCTCACCGGCCCCCACCGGCTTTCGTCGCCCATGCTCGGCTTTTACTTGAGTGCCGCTCGACTGGCCGATGAAGAGCGACCCGTACGACGCGCACTTGTCGTCCTCCCTCCTCGCCACATGACGGCCGCCCTCCCCGCGCCGCCACGCTTCCCTGTGCACCTGACCGCGCTCGAGCTGCGCACAGACGGCGCGCTCTGGCAGACAGAGCAGCGGCCGCCCAGGCGGTCGCTGCTCCGCCCAGTCCGAATCCGTCCGCCCGCGCGTGCCGCTGCCGCCGCCGCCGCCACCACCGCGCCGCGCTTCCCCGCGCCGCCACGCTTCCCTGCACCTGACCGCGCTCGAGCTGCGCAGGCAGACGGCGCGCTCTGGCAGACAGAGCAGCGGCCGCCTGGGCGGCTGCTGCTCCGCCCCGTCCGAATCCGTCCGCCCGCGCGTGCTGCTGCCGCCGCCGCCGCCGCTCCACCCGGTTGCCGTGTGTCGTGAGAGTTTGCTTTGTGCATGTGTATGTCGAATGTGTGTGGACTTATGTCACACTTGAGCCTCTATCTATGATTAGTAGACCGGTACTCGGGTTTGGATGGTAGCGGGGGGCCCCGCCGGAGCCTGGTTACTGATTTTTGCGTGCTGCATCTACTTCGCCGCTTCCGCCCACTTTGCGACAGCGCTTCCGCCGCCCACGCCGCCGCCGCTCTCTAACATGCTCGCCGCCGCCCTCTTCGCATTCGCTCCGCCTGCCGGCTCGAGCCCCGGCCGGGCTGACATCTTCCGCGTCGCTCGCATGAAAGTTGCTCCAGCGCCTTCGGAGGTTCCGGCGTCGCTCCAGTCTCACCAAGTCCGCATCGCGGGCGAGGACGAACTACAGGCGGTCGCACGGCTCATGCTCGACGTGTTTGCGCCGGAGTCACCCGCAGCTCCGGCGCTGCTGCCCTTCATGACCTCCCTCCTCGAGGCGAACCAGAGAACTGCGCGGGCTGCGGCGGCAGGGAGGCTCGCGGCCGAGCTCTCGCAGCGGGTGGCCATTGGCAGCACCATCTTCATCGCGGCCGAGGCCGGTGTGCCGGCCGACGGAGCCGAGGGCGGGCTGCCTCTGCTCGGCACCGTCGACCTCTCCTCGCAAGAGATGGAGCTGCCGACGCATGGGCTGACTGGTCAGCTTGCGCACGTCCACACCGGGGCATGTTCGAGACACGTCCGCGACACACCGAGGCCTGTGCCCGTAGGCTCGCTGTACATGTCCACCCTCGCCGTCGACAGCGCGCACAGGAAGCGAGGCCTCGGCCGCGCGCTGCTGCGAGCTGCGGAGGCGGAGGCCAGCGCGCAGGGCGTGGAGGGCATCTACCTGCACGTCGAGGCGGCAAACGCTGGCGCCCTCAGCCTCTACCGGGGCGCCGGCTACAGCGCCGTGCAGCCCACGCCGCTCCTCACCACCTTCACGCGCGCGCTGCACCTCACGCACGCAGACCCGATCCTGATGTTCAAGCGCGTGCCGTGCGACGGTGCGGCGAGGTAAGCCCCTTTTCAGTGTAATGTAGCTCTTACGAACATACTACACTACCCGTGGACTGCTGACGGGGTTTGCGATGAGGAGCGACGCCGACGGGTTTCTCGGGTTAGTGTACCACTGATATTTCCCCTCTTTTTTAGAATATATGCGGCGCCCGGATGCTAGTGCTTGAGAAGGCAACCAACAAGAACTGAGAATCCAAAGTGGGAATTTTTTCTTTTCCACGCTCTCCTCGAAAGACCGCCGGAAACCAACTCGAGTATCGTGCGATGTCGCCCAATAAGCACTCGTGGCGGTATGCTCGTCCCGGACCGAATCACGTGGCGGACGAATGGGTGCAGCGGGAGACGTGGGGCGCAAGCTTTCCGACGTGCGAGGCAGATGTGGAAAGATCTCGAGGAGCACACACAGATAGACCCGCGTTGGGTGCAGACTAACAGATCTGCCTCGTCGGTGCAGATGTATAAATGGGATAGAGCAGAGCCCTATCAACATCGTCACGGGCGAGGCCATTCCGATGAAGTCGCTTCCCGAGATCTCCACTGACATCGACGCGGCGCCGCACTACGTCTCCAACACCGGCAGCGGGTTCCAGCTCTTCGAGACGACTCCGACAGAGAGCATGATCGCGAACGGGACATTCATCGACACGATCGAGGGCTCAAGCAAGGGCGAGAGCTGGGTGGGCGGCCAGAAGTTCCTGTTTTACCAGATGCACTGGCACACCCCGTCGGAGAACACGATCGACGGCCGCTCCTTCCCGCTCGAGGCGCACTTTGTGCACCAGTTAGACGACCCGATGCTGGTCGGCACGCCGCCCTGGCTCGCCCCTCCCTCGAGCCGACGTGAGTGAGGCGTGGGACCGAGAGCGTCCGAGACTAGGCACACTTCACCGCCTCGCCGTCATCTCGCTGCTGTACGAGCCCGGTGCCGTGCCCACGCCTCCCTGCCGTACAAAAAAGGGGCCTTGAACCCTCTCGGACC